GTCATCTTCCTCTACAGCATGGGAAAGAAATACGCCAGCGTGCACTGCAGTAGTGTGAAGCATAGCACACAATAACAGCAGCCTTGCTAAGCCCATGGGCATCCCCAACGGTCTGCAGGAGTCCACCAGTGGCATCAAACAGGAGGGCTGTCAGGAGCTGCAGGGAGGGACTAAGGGGAAAAGTTCTGTTGGTTCCTCTTGCCAACTCCTCCACCAGACCAAGGAGGGTCACCATTTCACCCCTGGGCACCCTGTATCTCTCTATTAACAAGTTGTCGCTGAGAGAGTCTAGGGGGTTCATATTTGACTGCACAGCAGCAGCATTAAGACGAACAGCTAGACTTTGTGGATGGCGCAGTAGTCTCAAATGGTGCTTCTGATTCAAGACCAGTATTCTTTGGACCACAACCATCTTCACTCCTGGTGCATGATCATCATCACCAATCTTCCCCTATTTATTTTTTTGAATGATTAACATGCGAGTCTGATTGGTTAAGTCATAATGTGGCTGAGTGGATTACAGACTTGCTTAATAATTACAGCCAATTATTTTTGTTACCTCTATGCTGAAGGAAGAGTGAATTAAAAAGCATAACAAGGATTATAGGCTACAAAATCATAATAAATATGCAAATATAATAATAATTTGCCCTCAGTCTTTATGCCTAGAACAGGCGCATCAGTGAGTATTTTTGTGCTGAAATTAGCAGCCTCTGGCTTTTTGGGGCAAAACTGCAGGCAAGATCCAAATAAAGAAGCACTTTGTGAATAATGAGTAGGTCAGGTTAGTCACTAATTTACGAGCGAGTTTACGTACTACTTTAGTTAAGAAGGGTTTGGGGAAACAATTGTTAATTAACAAGCATTTTTAAGATTAAGTTAACGAAGTACTTAGCGTTATGAAGCTTTTGGGAAACGTACACCGGATTGATAATTTAATTTTTCTCTCACAGATCCAAACATCTCTTTTACAATGTAATCCTTGTTAGACTTTTTATAAAACCAGGCCAGTGCTGGAGTCTAGAATCTAGAAAGTGCTCTATATTATGAAAATACTCATATGTGTGGAACAAATATACCCTGTAAAAGGTGTTTTTAAAGCACAATCTCCGCAATACATGTAATGTGACAATTGCTTTTTTCCTATATTCCCGATAGTACTAAAATGACATTGCACCATACCAACTGACACTTTAAGCTATGAAAGAAAGCATTTTTAATACGATGTTGGTGGCATTTGTGCCAAAATCAATTTACTTCAAATTTGTGCTGACTGAGCAAGAGTTGCCAAATTGGCAACACAATGAACATACAGTATGCAGGCAGTTCCTTCACGGATGAAAATGAGTTCAAAAGTGATGTGCCCAGGGGGCTCTTTATCTTTCATTCCTGAACTCCCGGGTGAGGTTTCATCTCCAGGTATTCACAATCAGCCACCTGGCATTGTTTCTCTTCTTTTGCCAAGTGCTGAAAACATTAAGTACATTTGTATCTGTTTTGCACTTCAATTTTAAATTTAAATACCTTCTAAAACGAATTTGTTTTCTAACTAGGAGATGTCTGACTTGCAATATAATGGGAGAAGGGTCCACAGACTCAACAGAGAACTGCAAGCTTAACAGCAATCTTACTTGCTATAAGTAAAGTTTTGAAAATAGTAAACCTAATTTATAAGAATAACTACAAAACAATGACTGTTTAACCTATGTTCCAGAATTCTTTAAATAAGCAACGAGGATAGTATATAAAAGCACAGCTTATGACGTGATAAATTTAGACTTCCATAAAGCTTTGGATCAGGTTCCTCATAAAAGTTTCAATCTCCAAATAGAAACTAAAGGGAGATAAAATCTGCTCGGAGGTTGGAAGCTGGTTAAAGAAAATGGAGCGGTGTGTCAACGTAAGGGGAACGAAATCTAATTGGGCAGATATAGGCAGCGGTGTCCCACACTGATTACTCTCAGGCTCTTTGCGGCTCCTGTACCACCATCTTTTTTCTTTCTAGTGTGTTTCAGAAACGAGTTAAATGTGCTGATGATCCAAGAATCGGAGGCTAAGCAAACAAACAAATTGAGGCAAAGGAATTCCAAAAGGACTATTACCGCCTGTTCAGAATATTGTGTTCTGAACAACCGTTGTGTTGGCCACCGTGGCTCAAGAGGATATTACAGCCTTCGAGAGAGTTCTAAGAAGAGCAGGAACATGATTGTTGACTAGACTTGTCTCCTCAGGAAATTGGCACATACAGATCGGTCAAGGAAGCTAAAAATGTCTGGGTTGTTTGGCCACCTCTTGTCTGCAGGCTTTCTTGCATTCTTTGTCATTGTCTTTCATTTTCTAGTTTCGTTAGGGCTAAATAACAGAGCTGCAACAAGGAGTATTTATATAGAATCTATTTCACCTGTTTCTTTCAACTATCACATATTTTCAAGTCAGAGGAATGTGCAAGACTCACTGATGAAATAAAGGGAATTTAAAAAATATATATTTGTTATGCCAAGGTGTGCCAGAATAAGTGGAGGAGTTGCAAATGGCTAATGTACTGTAAGCTCTTCAGTAGGAGGGAGAAAAGTAATTTCATTTTGGATTGAATTTTATTAATCAAATATCAAAGGTTGAGCAAAGAATGACCCTTAAAATGGAAAACAAAACAGTGTGTCAGGGTTAGCAGGGGCAGCAGTCTAATTCAATAACTTTCAGGCCTCTGGAGCTCTGGGCTGAAATCTGGCTTGAGTTACGAGTTAATTATGCTTCGTGGTCTAAGCGTAGTCCCTAGTGAACTTAAGCTTACATAGTAAACCGCAGCCCAGTTTAACACATTATTCAGTGGTTCTACTTGTACTTATCATTCTATGTATTGGAATAAAAGAGGACCCTTTAGGTCAACGTTAAATGTACATTGTCAGAGCTACACTAAAGTCCTTGTCAAAGCTATTGCTATGACTGGGGAAAAGCACTCACAGTAAATTGTAAGATTGCATATTAAATTAGAAGAGGCACTCTAATATACCAAGATACCTTGGTTGAGCTCAACCTACTACTAGTATCTTTTAATTTCACCTACTATATTAACTCAAAGAATTCTCACCATTACCATTCTGTTCTAGCCCATAGGCAGTCCGTCACATTTTCCTGCTTTGTATCAAACAGTACAGCAATTTGCAAACAGTGGGATCAGTAAGCCAGAACATATTTCTAGAAAGCCCTGAGTGAGCTGACCAGTGAACTGAAGCTTATGTAACCACGATCATAATCATCTGGTCCAGCCAATTTCTTATCAGTGCATTACATTAGGCTGACTAATTTCTGTTTTTGTAAGACTCTTGCTGATAGAAGTGGAGGTTGTGTGATCAACACATAATTACAATCAGCATTATCTTCATCATCAGACGCTGGCTGGTGTAATTGTGTTGTGTTGGATGTGGTGCTAACACAGTTCCACAGCCAGTCACAGCAACCAATATAATAGAGCTCTAAACAGGCACCATGTGCAATCTACTCTGTGATTCAGAAGAGTTTTTCATGACTGTAAAAGTCTGTTGTATGATGCGAAGCATACTGGTAAAAGTAAGAAAGGGAAAGGAAGGCGTAACAATGTATTTCATTATCAACATCTTCTCTGTATAATCCCAGGAAACCAGGAAAAAATATAACTTTTTTTATAGCTATTTACCCAGCTTTTCTCTTTCATTAACCTGAAACACTCCTGTCTACCCAGTGTTCAATTCTAACGATGTCTGCAAAGAAGAAAGCATTTATGAAAGAGTTCAATAATCAATCTTGTTTTTTTTAATGCTGTCGCTTCTGATTTCCTTTTCTTTAAAATTTCACCACAGGAAAAAATGTGTTACAGGGAAGCAGTTTACTTTAACCTGAATTTTCATGTTATTTCTGTTCTGAACGTGCTGTACGTCTACGTAATCAGGCTTATATGTTGCTGCTTCTGCTAAAATGATGTTTTTATGTTAATTCTGCATTTCTGCAAAAATCCTAGAAGCGTATCATCTGAAAGAGAAGAGATGTGCTGGGAATCAAATGTGTTTTAGACCTTGTGTGGAGGCATTGGATTGGTGAATTACTTACAGTACATGATTATATTCCTCAAGATGTTTGTGTCATTTATAAAGTGCACCTTAAGATTGCCAGAATGACTATTATTTTGCCATTCCTCATTTTTATGTTTCTATTTCTTCTTGGGAATATGCACTGCATTTGTATTTCACCAATTGGAGTACTGTGTAGAAATGGTCAATACATCACAAATACAGCGCATACTGTGAAACATTTATTTTCTAAAAAACAGGAATTCATTAAACTCCTCCTAAAAAAGACTCTTAAAAGTTTGTGTCAGAGTTTGGAAAACAAAGTGTCTCTATTTAATTAAACTAATTATAGTTTAAATAAATCTGTTAATTCAGTACACAGTACAGTGGCATTTTATCAGGCTAGCAATCTGGAATAAATTAAAAACACAACTGAAACAATTTAGTATTAAGAGAAAGCAGCAATATGTGCCAGTCACATTCCACACTTTTGTTGGATAGGCTTTCCCAGAAGACTGGCCCGTTGTAAATGGAGACTGTACAAGGAATTGAACAGGCAG